GGAATTGAACCCACAACCTTCAGGCCTGAAGGCCAATGCTCTACCAACTGAGCTACTGTCGCCCCTTCGTCTTCTATCTTAGGAAACATAATTGTCAATTTAGATACAACATCATATCTTAGTTACAGCACTAAATGATATGGTCATCATTGTATTTTCAATTAAGAATACATCCACACATTGAAATGTTGCCTTTGTTTTAAGATGGTGTTTGTGAGTGAAGTCATTAGCTGTAGGTGCTGCAGCCCTTTCATCAGTCAATCACAGGCAGCCATTGGCTACTAGTAAATATTATACACACACACACACAACCATGCCTGAGCGAATAAGATGACTATGTAGAACAACCGTAGGCCTGCTAAATTAGAAAATCAAGATCCAATAATTTCAATTATTCTAGGTGGACTTTGCACCCCTAACAGGTGCATAGGAGTAAAGGCGTTTAGCAGTCTTCAGATATTGTCAATTGTCATTACAATGTTTAGAAGAATGCAACAAAAGAAGAGCTCCCGCACACCATCTCACTATTTATGAAATGTTATATTTGAAAGACTATTCTAAAATCAGTCATGAGTCATTATATATATATATTCGAGAATTACAAACCAATGCATTAATCATCATCAAATGTTTTCTTATACAACTAAAGCAAGAGGCACAGTGAACAAGATAGATGCAGACTTTACTCAATTCATGTTTTGAAAGTTCTTCTCCTCATAGATCCATTCATAAACTAGTAAGTAATGCAATAATTTAAGTTTACAGGCTACTCCTTGGTGCAGGTTGACTAACATCGGGAAAGCATCAGCTGTGAGCTTCACACATACGTAGCAGGACCACGCTCCCAACATTAGGATCCATTTCAGGGCTGAGGGAGCGGGCTGTGGCTCGGGCAGACGTCGAACAGCTGAGGCTGCACTGGCTTGGCTTGTAGCATCCCCGCTCTGATCCAGAACGCTTTCACACTTCAGTCCTCAGCTGGGACCACAGCACAGCAGCCAGGGGGTCAAAAGTTCTCTGACCTGACTTTCTCTTCAGCCCCTATCAGAAACAAGGCTATTTCATTGCTCTCTTTACCCATGTGGCGGTTTTCTTTCCAATAGGCAGTTTTTTGAAGATAATCATGGGATCACAGAGGAGATAGGCAGCTGGTGTTATGGGCAAGCTTGAATATTGAGTTTATTTAACAACATGGGCTAAAGAGTTCCACCACCTGCACAGTTCACAGGCAACATACAGACACCACAAATGCACTAAGCGGCTGAGTCTTTGCCAAGCGCTTTTTCATTGACAGAATTGACTGAACCGTTCCCCTCACTTGTCATCATCAGGAATATCATGTGCTGAGAAACCATATGGATCTCCTCCAACCAACAGGAAATTCCTGCCAGCACACATTGATCCAAATCAACTCTCCAGGTATCCGTCAACGTCGAATTAGTGGGATTACATTACCACAAAATGAATGCGTTTGGGTCAATGATAACAACGGAGTCTAACATTTTCTTTCCGTGATCAATGGTGGATGCAAGCAACCATGCTATTTTTCTTTCAACATAGAGGGATGCAACAAGGCTTGTTGTGATGTTGGAAGCGGTAATACAGCTGTACACACAGGCATGTCTCTTGAGTCATGTGAAGCCACTACAAAAAGCATAGAGAAGTTGAGATGACAGAGAGGCTTTTAGTCAGATGAGGAGTCGATGGGCCCTGGAGCGCACATGATTCCACCCTCCAAACGTCAATCAAAGAATCAAGAGGCCTCAACACACCAGCCTCCCAACTCTTTGTATGTCAATATCCCAGTCATGCAAAAACAACAAGCTGAACTAGATTAGTTTTTCACAATAGGCCTCTCTTTCAACTAATCACCCAGTTTAATCGGAACAAAGTTGAAGGAAAGAACACGTGAAGGATTGAGAAACCTGCAGCCCTTGAGAGCACAAGTGTTTGTTCAAACCCAACTTTCATCATGAAAAAGTGTCTACGTCATTAACACTACTGAGTTTAAAGAAAATATAGAAAGCTACTTACTAATCCTAGAACAAAGCTTAAGTGTTACAGAGAACGACAAATGGAAAAACTCACAGAACACAACGAACAATGCACCCCCATCATTTCACTCCCCATCACTTCAGATACAATAATATCATATATGAAATGGCTTCTATGCTTTTGTGACTTCAGACCAATCAGTAACCAGTCATGCAGACACTTCATATCTAAAGATAACATCATGGACCAATGGCCACCTGACAAAGATATCATACATGCATGGAAGCTGAAAGGAGAGTGAGCGGTATGAGACCAAAATGTAGACAGATTTAATGACATTAGTAAGTAAGTCCGTGTCAATTTTTGTAATGAGGAGAGGCCTCTGGGAAGACACAGGACCTTAAAATCTTGGCTTTTTGTAAATAAATTATTCTGCTATGTATTTATTAGATTGTGATTAAGACTCGCAGGTTGCGGTTAAGGTTCATTGGCAGTGGGGTTAGGCTTGCTTTCTGAGGTAGTAAATTTAAAGATATTGCAGTCCCGGAAAATACAAGACACACTGGAACACTTTGGGATTCCCCTGGATGAAATGGATAAAGTGCATTGATAGAGAAGTCTGGGCATCTCTACTCAGACCGTTGCCTCTGAGTACCAGCCCCAGATGATGCAAAAGAAAGTAGATAAATGGATGATGACAATCTCTTAAAAGAAATGTGCTGTCTTTTATTTAAATAGAACATTAACAGAAGAGGGTGAGGGCCAAAAAAGTCAATTTCATAAGTAGCTGCTCTACCTATAACCTCAAAGCACCAATGTCCCAAGGGAATATTTGATGCATTAATGTAATTGGGACCAAAAACAGTGAGACATTGTGTGCTATTGAGTTTCTCCGTTAATAGCTTGAGGTATGGACACGTGAATCTGTGCTTGTGTGTTCACAGAGGGTACTTTGGTGCGTGGAGGATTAGATCAGGAAGCCAGAGCAGAACCTCAGTGGTGGCCATGTGTATGTGCTAGGACAGAGCCTAATCACTTAATGAACTGCACCACTCCTCCAAGCAGGACAACCAGATCAGACACAGGCCTTCCGCTTTCACCCTTCTAATAATACCTGCCAACCCCAGAGCAGGATAACTCACGGGGGATTTAGCCTATTGGACTATCCAGTACGCCATTCATCGCCAAGACAAGCTCATTGGGCGCTTAGAGTTGCCAGACCAACCTTTTCCGCTGGGCCTGGGAAGCGATGTGACAGATTAGCGCATGGTTAATGGGCGAATGGGACGTTATGCAGCGTCATTAATCTGAATAGGTCTGGCAAAGACTGGTGCACATGGACGCCAATAAGCAAATGATTTTTCAAACACAGAAGACACACGGGTTCTGTTATTAATGTCCCTTTTTGAGGAGTAATTGAAAAGGCTATGAAGACACATGTTGGCGTGTTGATTTATGGGAGCATCGAGATGTTTAAAAAATTAAAAGGAAAGGTCAACAGATCCTGACGCATAAAATCTAATGATGCATAGTTGAGTTATGATCCAGACTGAGCTTTGGCCTGACTTTGCGGTGATACATCAGAGGCGTACAAAGAAAAATGCCTTTTGAAAACCAGCAAAGCACTTGACTTAAAAACGTCTCAACCAGCGGCTATGATCTCACTAACAACTTATCATTAGGCAAGTGACCGTAGGTATCCAATAACGCAGAGTGAAATGCCTCTACAAGCATAAACATCTATTAGACGGAACTGAAGGCAAAGATCCTGGTCGCTACAGAGAGAAATCTTCCACAGAACACTAATTATTAAATGGTGTAATGGTCTGGAGTCAAACCAATGTAGTTATGTTTATGATACGGTATGAGCTTATGGAATAGAATACATACTTGCATCACATTCTACATTGTAAAAGCATAAGTTCTATATGAATTGAACATATACATACACTGCTTTGTTCTTTCAGTTGTTCAGGAGTAACATAATGAGCAAAAAGAGGGGAAATCTTGAAGCCCAAACATTGATATAGGCACATGGCTCAAGCCCAGCGTGACCAGCTGGACCTTGGCACAGAGGAAAGAAGTGGAGCCTATTGTATCTTCTGTGCAGATGAGAGAGAAGGGAGCTATCTTAGTTTCCTCACCATTTGTTTTTGCCAATATACTGTGCATGCATTTTCCAACCCCCATTGAAATAACTGAAAACATAACAGAAATAAAGAATGAATTCAACTTTAAACTGCAGTGTCATTGCTGGTAGGAAGGTTGAGCACTACTTTTAACGATGCAAAAAACAGTGCATCACCAGTATCCCCTCTCTCATTTGGCTTGTGGTCCATACCCAAAAGGAAAACCCAAAACCTGCTGTGAGCCTAAACGGGGAAAACGCATGTCTGCTTGCCTCCTTTGCCTCGCCTGCCTGCAGACTAAGAATAGATCAATGTATCAGGCAAACAGGGATTAACTGCGCTGTGGTCCAATCCCAGTGAGCACACAGGCACACGAACACAAGACCAAAGGGAGGGAAGCACTCCAAAAAGTTCCACCAGCGTTCTCCCCTCATCATCACCATCAGCAGCAGAAGCAGTAACAGCAGGCACCCCTCCAATGTCATCCTCAATGGGAAAGAGATCACCCACACCCATTCCTTCCAAGCGCTTGAGCACATGCAACAACAAGCCGTATGTAAAGCCGCAACAGCTATTCCTAAATCCCCCCCATGCTGGTAATGATTATGTCAACGCGGGGAGAAACCGATTTCTCCCATAGGTAAAAATCCAACTCTTTCGCGTCTGCCACCCTGGGAAATAGAACTTAAAAGAATTAACTAACCTGTCTGTCCTTTCCCCAGCGTCTTCTCCAAGCGGTAAGGTCCCACGTAATTGGCATGTTGGGCACCGCTGTTGTCTTTCCCGGACGATGACATGTCGAGTGGAAATCGGTCACTTCACTCAACGAAACACTCCTTCGCTGGTGCTCCGAGGCGCAGCGTAAAGTCTTGAATGTTACTCCACGGGTTTCCTCCGGGTTTCCTCCGGGTGCTTCTGCCTCTCGCGTCGCTCTGTCCTCACTCTGGGCTGAGGAGGAGATGAGGCGCTCTCTCTATCTCTCCTCTTTTCGCCTATCGCTGCTGCAGACGAGCCGCAAGTGCCTGGAATCTCATTGTGGAGAGCCTGAGCTGCGCTGCCGCTCTGCGTCTGTGGGAGATGCTGCTGAGGCGAGAGCGCGCAAGAGACGGACAGGTGCTCTGGCCAATCACAGGAGAGGAGAGGTGTTTTCCACAGGCACCGCCCTCATTTTTCTGTTATGGATTAAATACATTTGAGGGTTTTTTATAAAATGTAGGGCAATCCTACATTATGGCACACTCATCACAGTAAATCCATTCAAAACGGACTTTCCCCAAACAAGATCTAAAATGCAGTAGCCCTAAATCATAAGCCTATACATTTGGCATGACTTGTGGCATGTTTAATGGGTGATGTGTTTTGATGTACTTATCTGTTCCCAACTTAATCCAACACACAATTACCGACAGATGTTTTATGGTTGGGGTGATGGGTTAAAACGAACATCAGGGATTGTTTTTAATGGGCAGGAAGAAAGTGTCATATTATTTGTAGGAAAAACTCTTTATAGACTTCACATCTCACACAGGAGAAATTCACATGTCACATCCGGCAAAGAAATGTGCAAACATGTTAAATGCAGGAGATTAAATATATATACATATATATATATATATATAATTGTCCACTCACCTTTGGCCCTCCGCGGGCGGTTATCCCTCTCTAAGCTCGGGTCCTCTACCAGAGGCCTGGGAGCTTGAGGGTTCTGCGCAGTATCTTTGCTGTTGCTGTATATATATATATATACAATAAGAGAATCAATTAAAAAGTGGCAATCAAATAAACAGTGGCAGTAGTAGTAAAAGAATTGTAGACCTGCAACAGACTGGGAAGAGTAAATCTACAATAGGCAGCTTGGTGTGAACTAATCAACTGTGGGAGCAATTATCAGAAAATGGAAGACATACAAGACCACTGATAATCTCCCTCGATCTGGGGAAGATCTCTTCCCATGGGGTCAAAATGATCATGAGAACGGTGATCAAAAATCCCAAAACCACACGCGGGGACCTGGTGAATGACCTGCAGAGAGCTGGGACCAAAGTAACAAAGGTTACCATCAGTAACACACTACGACGACAGGGAATCAAATCCTGCAGTGCCAGACGTGTCCCCCTGCTGAAGCCAGTGCATGTCCAGGCCCGTCTGAAGCACATGGATGATACAGCAGAGGATTGGGAGAATGGTTTCATCTGACCACATGACAAAGTAGAACTGTTTGGTATAAACTCAAGTCATTGTGTTTGAAGGAAGAAGAATACTGAGTTGCATCCCAAGAACACCATACCTACTGTGAAGCATGGGGGTGGAAACGTCATGCTTTGGGGCTATTTTTCTGCTAAGGGGACAGGACGACTGATCCGTGTTAAGGAAAGAATGAATGGGGCCATGTATCGGGAGATTTTGAGCCAAAACTTCCTTCCATCAGTGAGAGCTTTGAAGATGAAACGCGGCTGGGTCTTCCAGCATGACAATGATCCTAAACACACCGCCCGGGCAACGAAAGAGTGGCTCCGTAAGAAGCATTTGAAAGTCCTGGAGTGGCCGAGTCAGTCTCCAGACCTCAACCCCATTGAAAATGTGTGGAGGGAGTTGAAAGTCCGTGTTGCTCGGCGTCAGCCCCAAAACATCACTGCTCTCAAGAAGATCTGCATGGAGGAATGGGCCAAAATACCAGCTACTGTGTGTGCAAACCTGGTAAAGACCTACAGTAATCGTTTGACCTCTGTTATTGCCAACAAAGGTTATATTACAAAGTATTGAGTTGAATTTTTGTTATTGACCAAATACTTATTTTCCACCATAATTTACAAATAAATTCTTTAAAAATCCTACAATGTGAATTCCTGGATTTTTTTTTTTTCACATTCTGTCTCTCACAGTTGAAGTGTACCTATGATGAAAATTACAGACCTCTGTCATTATTTTAAGTGGGAGAACTTGCACAATGGGTGGCTGACTAAATACTTTTTTGCCCCACCGTATATCTCTTGCTCATAAATACAGTAAAATATAAATACCATACTTTACAATATACAGATTTTCAGTACACTACACAACTGCTTTTCACTTTCAATGATTCAGCTTCTTGCCAACCGCATGCCGTGCAGTATTTACTCTTTTGTAATAACTCTCCAATATCCCAAATACACATATTTGCTTTAGTGGACCCATGTGTATTCATATTCTGTAACAATGCCTGATGTCTTGTTGTCTTACTAAACATCATACAACTTCCAAAGCTAAACCAACAAACACAATTTTGCCAAAAGATTTCATAAATATTTAATGTGGCTGTATTTACTGCAGCGGGACCCATAGTGCAGCGGTGTCTCCTCTGCTTTCTCATTCCCCTCTGGTCTCCACTTGTCCACTTTAACTGCCCTTCCTCACCTGCCTGTATGGCCGGAGTGCTGCCGTGTGCATGTGTATGTGTAGGATTCATTTCACACACCACTGGTCTGAGCCCGGTGACTGCAGCTTTGGCCCCTGTCACTGTCTCTGGGGCCGTGCAGAGTACACCTGTCAAGGGACTCACCAAAACACACAACACAGGCGGTCCGACCTCCAAATGTTTCCCCAACTTGGTGCAAGGTTAAAAGTGCTGCTGAAATATTCAACACACAAGAGGTTACATCAACAGGCAGTGGGAGCTTCATAGCAAAAAGTGACCATTTCGATGCTATTCTTCCGTTCTCCAAATGCAGAATTGAAACGTAATTTTACCACAGCCTGTTCAGTGCACATTCAAGAACTTTTGTGTAAATATTCAACTAATACAATACCTTATTTTTTCCGTGCATAATACATTTAAATCACATTAAATGTGGGCGGCACGGTGACTGGGTGGATAGCACTCTCGGCAAGAAGGTCCTGGGTTCGAATCCCGGTTGGACCAGGGCCTTTCTGAGTAGAGAGAGTTCTCCCCGTGTCTACGTAGATTTCCTCTGGGTACTCCGGTTTCCCCTACCACTAAAAACCTGTACAATAGGTCTGGCATTCACCTCCTGTACTGGCAACCCCGCTCCTATCTCTGTGTGGAGTGAGAGGACAAATGCCCAAAAAATCCATCCATCCATCCATCCATCCATCCATTTTCTTCCGCTTCATCCGTTGCCGGGTCGCGGGGGCAGCAGTCTAAGCAGAGACGCCCAGACTTCCCTATCCCCACACACCTCCTCCAGCTCGTCCGGGGGGACCCCAAGGCGTTCCCAGGCCAGCTGAGAGACATAGTCTCTCCAGCGTGTCCTGGGTCTTCCCCGGGGCCTCCTCCCGGTGGGACGTGCCCGGAACACCTCCCCAGGAAGGCATCGAGGAAGGCATCCTGAACAGATGCCCGAGCCACCTCAACTGGTTCCTCTCAACGTGGAGAAGCAGCGGCTCTACTCCGAGCTCCTCCCGTGTGACCGAGCTCCTCACCCTATCTCTAAGGGAGCGCCCAGCCACTCTGCGGAGGAAGCTCATTTCGACCGCTTGTATCCGCGATCTCGTTCTTTCGGTCATTACCCACAGCTCATGACCATATAGGTGAGGGAGGGAACGAAGATTGACCGGTAAATCGAGAGCCCTCTTTACCACAACGGTCCGATACAGAGACCGCATCACTGCACACGCTGCACCGATCCGCCTGTCAATCTCACGCTCCATCCTTCCCTCACTCGTGAACAAGACCCCGAGATACTTGAACTCCTCCACTTGAGGAAGGACCTTCCCACCCACCTGGAGAGGGCAAGGCACCTTTTTCCGGTCGAGCACCATGACCTCAGATTTGGAGGTGCTGATTCTCATCCCAGCCGCTTCACACTCGGCTGCAAACCGTCCCAGTGCATGCTGCAGGTCCTGGTTCGTTGGAGCCAGCAGGACGACATCATCCGCAAAAAGTAGAGATGAAATCCTGTGGTTCCCGAACCGGACCCCCTCCAAATACCCAAAAAATAACAATTGTAAACCGCTTTGAGACTCTGATCTGCAGTGAAAAGGCAGTGTATAAATAAAGATTACTTACTTGTTCGAATCCCGGTCGGAACAGGGCCTTTCTGAGTGGAGTTTGCATGTTCTTCTCGTGTCTCCCTAGGTTTCCTCCAGGTGCTTCAGTTACCCCCACCACTAAAAACATGTACAATAGATCTGGGCATGCGCCTCCTGTACTGGCGACCCCGCTCCCATCTCTGTGTGGAGTGAGAGGACAAATGCCCAAAAAATAACAATTGTAAACCTCTTTGTGACTCTGGTCTGTGAATAGCGGTAAATAAATAAAGATTATTTACTTGCTTACTTACATTGACCAAACAAATAATCACTATGTATGATCAGCTTTATTGATCTCACAATGGAGAAATTAAACATACACAAATGTATACAGGTATGCACAAACTATTTACACGGCACTTACCTGCTGATAATCTGGGTTATTAAAACTGACCAACCGGATACATCTCCAATACTTAGTCAGCCTTACTCAGGAATGCAGTTGAAGGATTGTAGGATAGGACACTTGAACCATGCACATTCATGGACATTCATATTTAAGATTATTGGATGGGAATGTTGCATTTGCTGTCCTTGTGTGTTAAAAGGTCAACATGAAAAACAAAACCTAAATCAATGTTTGCCATTGAACAGATTAAAAACAAGAACGAAAGAGAGTTACGCACAGTCAATGAGGATGTCTCAAGTGCTTTCAATCTTGACCTAAAAGCATTCAATGAAATAAGTTTAGTAAATGTCCAGTCTTTTTGCAACACTTTCCATGTAAAAGGAGCAGCATATACGAAAGCCTTTTTTTCCCCAGCTCCAGATTGTGTTTCCAATGAGGCAGATGATAATCTCTGATGCCTTGTCCCAGTGCTGATCTCTGGATGTGAATGTTACACAATTCCTCTGAGATCCAGTTTGAACATCGGAAACAACGCTGCACATTTATGATTAGCAGTATTTTGGGGGGTAGCATGGTGTTGCTGTGGTTTTCTTACCGATTTGAAGTATAGCTGGTTTGCAATGGTTGGAATGAGCCAATATATATCTCAAACACACATACATACTTCACATATGCCTCACATAGTCGTCTACTGTTACATGGAGCTGCTTTCCATCATGCAGTAAATTGAGAGAATAAAACAACATCACACACATAATCTTCCTTATTTATTCTGTTTTTCTTCACTCATAGTAGTAGGAGTAGACGGTTTTTCAACACAAACCGTCTACTCCGGTGCCTTTGAGATTGGTTCAGAGCATGTGTGCCATTTCCCATGATGCCCCTCTCCATCACTGCTCAGTGCTTGTGTGGAGGAACAGTGACTCTAGAGAGACAGAGAGAGCCTGGTGGTGGAGCTCTGCCAGGCGGACCAGAGTGTGATGTCAGAGCCAGGTGTGGATGTATGTATGTGTGTGCGTGTGTGTGTGCGTGCGCTTGTGTGTGTGTGTGTGTGTGTGTGTGTGTGTGTGTGTGCACCCATAATGAATTTGGGCCCAGTGTTAGCGCAGGTAGAGCAGCTACACTTTGAAGTTTTGTGGAAACATCTGCAGCTTGAGTTTTTAATCACCACACTGCACCTCCCTGCTCCTCATCAGTCCCGCTGCACCTTCACGGCTCCACATCCCACCATTCCACTTTCCTTGCTTATCTGAGAAGGAAGTGGAGTTAGGGAAAAGAAACTTATGCTGACCCAAAAAGTGCAGTTTGCAAAGAGAACAAATATAGATCCAATTTTCCATTTTTGCTTTATTGACTATGCAGAAATGAACTGTCTCTTGCCCATTCACAGATGACATTTAGTGAAAGTAGGACAAACTCATAGATGAATTAGTCCATTTTGTGTAAAATAATTGGCATTTCTGCATGATTCCACGGAAGCTAAAACCATGACACAACATGTAGAAATACGTAGGTTAAATAATTATTGTGGGAGATTATAGTGACGAGATGCAAGCCACAAGGACATAGAATATAAAAAGTAGAACATTGATCATAAGGGGAGTATCAATAGTCAATAAACAGTAACCTTCTGACTATAGTAAGTCTAAGGCAGACCTGGGAAAACTATGGACTGGGGGCCACACGAGACCCCCGATTCATGTTTCTACACAACCTCGGACCCTTTCCATCTGTCCTCATACTGTCCACTTGACCACCTGTGTTCTGTTGCATATTTAAATGAATGGGAGTCAGTAACTTGATATGTGCAACCACGGCCAAAGCATTAAAAACATTACCTTTGGTCTAGTTTTGATTCAATCCAAGCAAAATTACCTTTAGAAAAATCGAGAAGCTGTCACAGAAAATAGCATATATATTTTTTTAAACGTGTCCGGTCCTCCACAATACGACAATATTCCAATGGGTGCCCCCTGGAGAAAACAATTTTCCCACCCCTGGTCTAAGGTCTAATGTCACACACATTTGTTTTACTTTTAGAATTATAACTAAATGTCATGGTTGCCATCTTTTTTTGTCTTTTTGTACTTCATGCCTGTTGTCTCCCAGTTAAATACCCTGTGCCCCTTACCTCTTATTTTCTGTTTGTTGTGTTTGTACCTTGGTTCTTGTCTATGTCCCCTGCTCCTGTGTTTTACATTTAGCTGAGGTTTGTTTTTGGATTCGTGTTTATTAAATGATATTATTTTGGAAGTATCGTATTGTGGATCCTTCCTTGACAACTAAACATAACACGGGAAATGAATGCTTTATCACTGAAGCTTTAGAGGCTGTTTTCGAGGTTACAGTTATTTCTGACTCTTTTCGTCAATGGAAACTGCTCTTCTGATCCAGTGGAAACTCGGTCAAAACCCAAGCTCTACAATCTTCCTGCCGACGTGTCCCACAATTCATCTTCATGACACATTCAAACCAGTACATGGATTCTGTTTCACTTTCCATCAATAATGCACACTTTTGAGAGTAGCGCTTCTTCGTGTGCTCACTTAACACTTAACACGTCAACAGCTGTGTTCAAGAGTAAGACAAGCCGTGAAGTGATGTACTGTATAAGATCTCCATGTTGCCTGTCTGATTTGTGCAAAGACTGCAGATGAAGCCTGATGTCTCCCATGGGTGCACCGCCAAGCTTTTGTTGTACAAGAGGTTAACAGCAGAGAGAAACAAACACGTATCTGGCTATGTAATATTTGGTGTCTGTGAAATTCAAGCTTTCAGTCTGTCGTGCTCTGGGCATCTCCCTACCCATTGACCTTGGCTTTCCCGGTCACACTGCTCTTCCCTCTGCTTTAAATGTTGGAGATCAGCACTAATTGTCTTTTTCGGATCCACATGACACAGTGATTAATCAAACGCCCCACGTCGGCCAATTTCAGAAGTGCCAACTGTTATTCAAACGCAACCTTTTTGCCAGAAACCCATGTGCGCGAGAGCGGGAATCGGCAAAAGGCTGAGGGAAGCTACGTTTGATCGATGTGTATATGCCATATTTGGAGAGGCGAAGTCCA